CGCGGCTTCGAGTCCCAGCCGCGCCTGCGCGCTGCGGTGTCTGTGCGGGGCGAGCGCCGGCCCTGACATGGCGTCCTTCCCGCCAGAGACCAAGGTGTACGTGGGGAACCTGGGCACAGGCGCGGGCAAAGGCGAGCTGGAGAGAGCCTTCAGCTACTACGGGCCCCTGAGAACCGTGTGGATCGCGAGGAACCCGCCGGGGTTTGCCTTCGTGGAGTTTGAAGACCCGAGGGACGCTGAAGATGCTGTGCTTGGCCTCGATGGAAAGTATGTGCATGCCTAAAACCTCCTTGACAGCTCTGGCTATGGTTTCTGACCTCCTGAGCCTGCACCAATCATCGATATCTGTTCTGTATGTAATGAGCACAGGGGAGAAAAGTATTTCTGTGATTAATTCATACTGTGTCTTGCAGGATAATATGTGGCTCCAGGGTTAGAGTGGAAGTGTCAACAGGGATGCCTCGTCGCTCCCGTTACGACAGGCCTCCTGCACGGCGCCCCTTTGACCCTAATGACAGATGCTATGAGTGTGGTGAGAAAGGCCACTATGCTTATGATTGTCACCGTTACAGTCGCCGAAGGAGGAGCAGGTATGTGTGGGCCCAGAGTGGCTGGGTTGCTTCGCCAGTTAGCTTTTGTGTAGCTCTTGTTAGAGAGAATGTTACACCAGTTTTAACTCTTAATGTTGTAAGTCAGCAGGTGTATATCACAATTTATTTTGCTAATATAAAATGTTAATATCTTAATAATCAACCTGGTCAAAACCTTTCAGGTTTCTTCGTTTGAGTCAGTCGCCTTGATTCAGAATGTCACGAGCCTTAAGATTTCATGCTGAGGCGCCTTGCAAATCCGACACTTAAGATCCTCCTAGACCTTGAGGTGATCAGCATAAGAGGCCAGATCCCCTCGAGCCATCTACACGTAGCTTCACCTTATTCTTTAAGGGCAGAAAATTTGAGACGGTGATCGCCGTAACAGTAAATTTGGCTTTCAATTGGGGCCCCCCTCCGGTTTAGAAAGAGGAACACCAGATTGACCACATTCCCACCTAGAAAAATCTTCTTGCGTCAATCAAGCCTCACCCTGGCTCATTGGGCTGTCAGTTTGATCGTCGTTAGATTGAAGAGAACACCTAGATGCAGCGATCGGCTATAGATACTTCTAGATCGTCTAGATCTGCTAGACCTTGGGCCAAAGAGGGTCGACCTGCAAACTTGCAAGGTTTATTTTAAATACGCATTACAGTGTTTTCTATTCTAATGTAATTCTGCAATGTAATTCAGCTTTTAACATTTTTTAGGTAGTAAAATGCTCAAGACAAGTGGGCCCAGAGATTTTTCCAACTGACAGATGCTAGTGGTGTGTTTTTGTTGGTTTGGTTTTGTTTTTTTTTTTTTTGTTTGTTGGTTTGGTTTTTTAGTTGTCTGAAATCAGTTTTGACTTCAGCAGGGTCTCACGTGCACTGATTGCTGCAGCTGTTTCCTGATACCTGTTTTCTCTAACCTAAAACCAGGTCCCGGTCTAGATCCCGTTCAAGGTCCCGAGGAAGAAGGTATTCTCGGTCACGCAGTCGGAGTCGTGGTAGGAGGTAGGGTTCTGGCTGTCCTTGTGTTATCATTCTTTTTTCTACTCCTCCCTCTGTTCCACACCTTTCTGTAGTCCTTGTGAAAAGTACATTGCAGTAATTTTGATTGGTTTTTTCCTTTGTTTTGTAGATCAAGGTCAGCTTCCTACCGCAGGTCCAGGTCAATCTCTCCTCGTAGGTATAGATCATTTTCACCCCGCAGATCTCGGTCTGGTTCTTTAAGGAGATCAAGGTATGTTTTTTTCTATTAAGCCCACAACATTGTTGAAGGGAACATAACTGTTGGAGTTAACATTAAGTTTATATTTTGCAGTCCATGTGTCTGCAGGAACCTTCATGGTACCATGTTACATCGCTGAGAGATAATCTGAATGCTTTTCTTTGAAGTTAAAAACTTCAGCATGTAATTTTGGAACTGCTGTTTCTGAGCTTTTTTAATATTGTACCAAAGTTACAGCCTTAATCTAAGGTTAAGGTTTCCTACTTCAGCTTCAAGGATACAGGGAGTAATTCTGCTTAGTCGACTAGGGCAGTGGGATTTCTTATGTGGATGGTAGGCATACTACAGCTTTCCAGTAATGAAAGTTACTTCTGCAACACCAGTAGTTCTAACAAAACTCTCTGAGGTCAATATCTTAAAAGAATGCCGTCTCTGCTATATGAATCGTGTAGTAATAGTTGAGTTTTCACTGCTTTTTTTTCTAGATCTAGGTCCAGATCACGCTCAAGGTCCCGGTCTGTTGCATGGCCTCGAAGCAGGTAACATACTTGTCTTAATCCAAACCAATAATAGTTTGGGTGTGGGCTTTTTTGTTTTGGTTTGGTTTTTTTTTCTTCCTCAGGGAAGTTTGGCTGGAAAGGGGTTAGAAGGTTGTGCAGCGTAGCAGTATTTGCACTTAAAGTTAATAATTTATGCGTTTTCACAGACTAAAGCAGTGGTTGATTTCTTGTAATAAACATGAGTTTATTTTCGTCTGTGCCTATTATATAGTCCATGTATATGTAGCCACGAACAAAGCATATATATGATTTGACATCTGTGGAGAGCAGTTTTGAAAACTAGTTAATGCTTATGCGTACTTGATCTTGCGACCTGCAGGAAATGCTGCTTAGATTTTTCTTGTAAATCCCAAGTACTGAGGGAAAAGAAAATAGCAATGAGAAGGTTGCCACTGTTGACTGAACTCTTGCTTACAGTTTTTCAGCTTTGTCAGCTCCAGTTCTGAGGGTTAGACCAAATTAAATTGCTGTAGTGCTAAGAACTACGTTACATGGGATAAAACACTTGACTGCAGAGGTCTGGAGGTCTGAATGAACAGGACCATGAGTCCTAATGGCGCGGGTAGTGTTTTAAAGTACTTCTCTGACTTGTAGCCCTGGTTTTGTGGATCTGGATGTTTTCCATGCTGAAATGGAAGTTGAGGAAAATGAGTATAGAGTAAATGCTCCTGCATTATTTTCCGCTCTGCTTGTGCGTAGTTGGAAGAAGGGTGAAAGAGTAGGATAAAATCGCAATGGACATAAGAGTTTTTAAGTTGGAAGTAGTTGTGTTTTGTTATGCATTAGGATGGGGGAAGAGGGATCATTTTTAGGGGTCTGCATGCTACTTGAGGACTTGCACACTGAGCTTTTAAGGGGATGATTGTTATTACTAGAGCTGTCCTGACTTATTACTCATACAGGCCTGTAATGCAGTAGATGACTAGCCAGGCTCAAATTGCATGTGGAAGAGTCTGCATACTGCTGATGTTGCTTGGTGACTTCTAGTTCTGGGACGGTTGTGTTCCTGCATGAAAGACTTGATAATTGTGTTGAAATTTCTGAGAAATGCTGACTTTGCATAGGTCTGCAGTTGTAGTAGTGAGAAGTAGTAGTTCAGGACTGGAGTTACGGAAGCATTGTGAAAACTCTAGCCAGTGCTGGTCCTCTGCTAATGCAGCAAAACACTAGTACATAACCAGTGCTGTATCTAGAGCTTTTGATCTGCAGTCCTGCTTTGTTGCTGTGTCCCTCAGAAGGAGGATTTGCCAGCAGTTCTTGTAGTAAGATGATGCTCTTGTGTGCTGCCTTACTGTATTTCTTTACAAAGGAAGTCATTGTTATACTACAAAATAAAAGTTCTGGGTAGTTGTGAGCAACTCCATTCTAGGTAACTGTGATACAATAACAAAATTACTGGTTATAGTGTTAGGAACTGACACAGGATGGCTCAATATAGTGATCAGGAAGGTTTCAAAGCAGTGGCATGTAACTCTTCATTTAACTTATGCCAACAGTGTCCATGTAGTATTTCTGTAAGTTAATAGGCCAGGTAAAGGTGAATCTTGATTACCCTTTAGAAACGGTTCTGAGCAGAGATAGAATAAAAATTCCTTACTTTTTTGGCCAAGTCTATTAAACAACAGACTTTCTGACGTTCAGTAGTACCACATGCCTGAATTCTGACACTGTAGGAGGACAAATACTTTCTAAGTAACAGCAAATACTTGAGTTGGTAAAGTAACATGATAAATGTGGGATGAAGGTCTCACTGTTAGAGTAGATTTTAATTCGTAAGATGAACTGGGAATAGTTTACACATTAGTAGCCAGATACCAAAACTGAAATGCTGTTTTCATTGGGAGAACTGATGGAAAAAGCTATATTGTACTTGAGTAAAAGTGGCACTGGGAACTTTTAGCTGAAGAATGCATCAGCTCTTCAGCATGTGTGCTTACCTGTGGCCGATTCCAGGCTCTTAATGTGCTGATTTTCTAAGATGACGCTTGAAACTATTCTTCCCTTTGTGGAAGGGATACTTGGCAGGTGGGGAGAAAGCCTGTGAGCCTGGCACAAGGTCCTGTGTTTTGAGAAAGTGGGTAGCTGAAGCTTTGCTGGGGAGCTTCTTGTGCTTGTACTCTCGTGTTCTGGTGAAGTGGGGTCTCTATAATAAAGAGCTAAAGTATTCTCCTGAAATGTCACAAGAAAAGCCTGCAGCACCAGAGCCTTCCTCTCTGGTTTGTGATGCTATGTAGTATGAATTTGCTGTTGCTGGTATAGCTAACTGTCACTGTATGTGCATGCCACTGGCTGCTTTGCTGAGCTTTATTTTTCTCCTGTTGTAGGTCTGGGTCCCACGGTAGATCTAAATCTGGCTTACCTGCTAAAAGGTGAGCGTATAAATACAAGTAGCACGCAGTATTTTTTTTTTTTGGTCATAATTCAAAATCTCTGCTTGGACCAGTATTTCAGTTGCATGTGGAAGAGGTTTTTTAGGGGTGTTTTTGGTTGGTTGGTTTTTAATAGCTGATTTTAAAGTATTTTTATACATTAAAATAATGTATCTTTTTTTTATAGCTGATTTTTGTGGGACAATAGGCAATTCTTCCAGAAGGATTGTGGATACAGGTTTTTGTTTAACCCATGATTGTGACAAGAATTATTTTTGACAGGATTTGGGGCATATCTCTCACTACCTTTGTTCTCAACTGTCTGTAGTTCTCAGTCTTCCTGACTCTACTTGTTTCACTGCTCCTGCTTTGCAGGGTTACTGCGATCATTTTATAGCTGCTTTGAAGCTGTGTGTTGCTCTTTTTCCCGAGGGCTCCAGCTTTCAGCGTTTTTCCTTCTCAACTGCAGCTTCTTGCTTAAAGTAATTGGGTATACTTGCTATCAGCAGCATTGAGGGTAGCACCTACTAAACAACATAAAACTGTTCTTACTGTTTTTAAATGGTTAAAAGTACTTACTGAGTGTATACAAGTTTACTATGTTGATTGTTTTGGTTTTGTTTGGTTTTTTTAACAGTCGCTCAAAGTCCAGATCACCATCTCCAAAGAGAAGGTAGGAATTGGTGTATGCCATACAGTTACTGGAGTGGTTGCTATAGAAGTTAACTTGTGCAAAGATAAAAGCTTCAGGTTTTTTACTTGTCTTAATTTGTGAAGTATGAAAAGATGGATTGTTACGGGCACTTCCTACTATGAAAAGATGAAGTTTTATGGGTGCTTCCTACTGCTGGTAGTCAGAATTTCATGGTAGTAACTCTAAGGTAACCTACTTTAATGAAATTTTAAAGGACAACAGAAAATGTGGGCAAATGAGAATCAACTATCCCAAAGTTTCTGGGGAAGAAGTGAGTAATGTAAGGTATGGAGCAAACCATGAATATCATGGTAGGATTAACTTCCTGCTGGTGGCTCCTCACAGCTGGCTCTCACTCACTTGCACAGCTGCCAAGTTCTGCTATGCACTGTGAAGTAAGAAGCAAGTTTTCCTAAGTAACCAGAGAAGTACGTGCTGGAATTTACCTAGTCTGAGAGAGTTCCTCATGACTGGCCCTAAACTGGAACCATGTAGGTTGTAGCAGAGCAAGAATTCCCCTGCACAGCTGGACCGCAGGCTCCAAGGTGCTTTCTGAGCAGGCTGGATGTCTTGCCTAGCTGTTGCAGCCGATGTCTTTATTTTGCCTGCCCTTTTCAAGCTTAAAGCAGCTGTTACTTATAAAGGTGTAAAATATAACACTTTATCATTATTAACTGTAAATGAAAACAGTGTGGGGAGGGGTGTTCTGAGTTGGGGGGTGGGGCTCCCGAGCAGAGGAAACCTGGCGTAGCATGCACAGTTTCTGTTGGTTTTGCTGTAAGAGTTGCTCTTTATCTTTCCCTTTCAGTCACTCACCATCAGGAAGCCCTTGAAGGAGTACAAGTCCTGAAAGAATGGGTTCAAATTTAAAATGTTTAAGAAGAAAATTTATTTTGTTTACATTATTATAAGGGATTTTGTGGTGTCTTTATAAATGTAAGGGCTTAGTCCTAGAAAGCTGTTTCTATTGACTAACAATTGGCATGGATCTGGATCTTTTTAAAAGTCTTACTAGCAGACTAATGCAAAACTCTTTTGTTGTGTTAACATTCTGTGATCTGGAAATGTTGGGCTTTTTTTATTGGCGCATTAAAATAAACTGTGCATTTCTAACTAAGAAATATTTTGTGATAACCCTGCTGTTTCTGTTAATATTTGGGTAGCTGAAGCAGGCCACGCACCACTATGGTGAAAAGGAGGAGGCAGGCTGTGACAGGCACTTGTGAATTGAGCATAGCGCAGCAGCCAGTCACGGGCTGCCTGTCCACGCTTGTCCTGCAGGCGTGTGCCAGTGTAGGACTTCATCCCTACAGAGCACCAGTTAGAGTGAAGAGTTACCAGTACCAGCTGTCATTCTTGCTGTTCGGTCTTGAATGTTATGGTGATCTGCACCTTGTGTTTTTATTTGTACCTTCTCAAAGCTCAGTGGAGCTGAAAACCTGTTTGGAGGTGCTTGTACACACTTCATGATTTGACCTACAAAAATGTCTACAAAGGGTGTTAACAGATGGAAAAAATAAGGAATGTGTGAAAGCTGGTCTGTCTCTCCTGTTGACTGAAGGACCAGCGAGCTTCTCAAGTGAAGGTATTTGGAATGATTCTGGAATGTAAATTATTGAAGTAAATATTTTTAGAAGTCTTGGTTTATGTCCTGGTTGTCCCAACATAGTAGTACTACTTTGTGATACTTATGATAAAATCAGCAGTTCTGGTACAGAAGATAATATATTTAGATACTCTTTTTAGGAAAGGAAGGCTTTTCTTACAGATTGAAGGTCACAAGCAGAACCTGCAGGTCATGTTTAAGTAGCAGTACATTAGGGGAATCAAGAGCTTGTGTCAACACTTACCTGACCTGATCTGCCTGGTCACATCTTCTCCTTTGGCAGTAGAGTGTAACCAGGGACTTGCTGCTGTCCTGATCAGAGGTTGCTTTGGGAAACGGGACTGTAGCTGCCTGTATACAGGTGGTCCCCATCTCACCACAGATAGGTTACTGACAGATGTAATGTGAGAATGATAAACTAGTGGAAGGTATTTTGATTTGTCTTTGCAGCTGATAATGGCTATTATCAGACTAGTATGGAAATGGAGTGCCAGATGATTTTGACTTAAAAGTCTTTATAGTATGTTCTGGCCTGTATTTCTGTGTCTTACAGGTCAGCAAGGAACAATAATTCTCTTGGGGCTTCTAATTTATCGGCAGGTTTTCAGGTGAACTTTGGTCACTCTTGCTTTATAAGATGCTCACGTTCTAAAAGAATGATAATGAGCCCCTATACATGACTTCAGACTCTTCCTGTGTACTACAGCATGCATTTGTCTTGTCCCTTCTCTCTCTCTTCCCTGTGTTTGTACACTTTAGTGCATTAGTGCTTAGTAGGGTAAGTGACTTCCTTTGCTGATGATGATGCAATTAATATTTTGTTAAACCATAGTCCATTATAAGCTGCAGAAAGAGGGAGCTGGAAGCAACAGCATTAAAACAGTGACCCCAAAGCCATTGCTAAATGCTGCTGGGGAGAGTATTTATGACGTTCCCTTCTTCCTGCCCCATTGCAGTTTACAGCATCAAGGGTGAAATTACCCCATGCAACGGTGCTTTTACAGGGGGGGTAGCTTTTTATTTTTTTTTCCCTCTGTATGGCTAAAGCAAGCTGACTCCACAATAAACATGCAGACTAAAACTCTTCTAGTGCTACCGTTCTTTTTCAGTCTTTCTGCTCAGTGTATTACAAGGAACCATGTGCTCGGGTGGAGGAGGAGGGCTGGAAGGAGGGTTGCTAGGGCCAGGCTTTAGTCAGCAGTAGGAGGGAGGCAGCTCCTGTGGAGGAGGTGGGAGAAGGAACCACTCTTCAACAGCTCCTGGAGGTGGGGGTGGCTCTTCTCATACCTGGCAGGGAGGCCTATGGCAGTTAGCAGTAGCCCTGCTATGGCGTTTGGTGCTTGCCATCTGTATTTAATGTGGGTCTCATCCCCTTGTTGGCAACCGCTGCCTCAAAGGCAGTTCCATCTGTATTGTGGAGGGCTTGCCATGTGCTACTGGGCAGCACAGCAGCCAGGCTCCAGCTCTGCCTCTGCTGTTGACCTGAGGGGTTGGGCTGGCTTAGCCTGTCTCAGTGTGTATTACTCTATGCCTTTACTCTTACCAAGCTGTTGCATAGACTGGCACTGGTTTTAGGGGCTGAACATGTCTGCTGAAGGAAGCAAGTAATAAAACCCTGTGCCCATGAAGCCAGGTTAGTGCATATGCAATTCCTGGAAAGTCAGCCTGTTTTGGCAGCAGATGGGGCACTACCATGTAGAAACCCTCCTAAAGTAACAGCTGGCACTGCAGCCCAGGTGGTGAGACACGAGAGATGCACTCATGGCTCTGTATCCACTGTCATATGTTGATTGTATCTATCAATCTGTGCTTTGTTCCTTTCCCAGGCTTGCCCAGGCAAGGCACTAGGACATTTCACAAGTCCTCTCTCCAGCAGGGTGGATGCTGCTAATTATCACCTGCTACATCATTGGCTGTCCTTGCCCTCACCTTCAGGTGGAATTTAGCGTGTACTTGGGGGGAAGAGTCATACACGCCCTCCTTGAGCACTAGTTTCCATCCAAAACACAGCACTGCCGGATGGTTGAGAAGTCATTTATTCAAGAGGATACCACTTTGAAAGCGTATGGAAGTCTGAGGTGAAAAAGGGAATCCCTTCCTATTTCACTCCATAGCCAACCTGAACAGAACCAGTATTTCCTCACCCTTACTGGTGTGGCTGCCTGGCACACGTGGAAGCCAGACTATGTCCAACAGTCCCTCTTCACACAGAGCTAATGGCTGACAACATGCTCCCTCTGCTTCTACAACATTCCTTGCCCTAGGATTCCTAGGCCTTAACAGCTCTTCACTAAACCTCAGAAAAAGAACCCAAGTGTCCAGGTGTGCAGCCAGAAGAGCACAGTGCTACTGTTGTCCAAAATTAAGCTAAGAAACCATTTCAGCCTTCTGCATTCAACACACGTGCAGTGACCATTCTAGGGCGCTAGTATGCTGGGCTTGGTACGCCTGTCTGGATCCCTAGGCAAGGGTGTGTTGCTGTGAAACTGCTGCTACAAACATTCAGATGTGGTTGGTTGGGGGCTGATTTTTTTTTTTTTTTAAAAACCAGACCAGTCCCCAACCGATGCACCTCCCTCTGCTCATCAGCCTGAAGGCTATTGCCAAGAAGGGTGGGTGGTAGGGACAGGGTTTACCCTAGTTTTACTATTAGAGATGACAGCAAAATTATTTTACTGAAGGCACTTGCTATTTGCTCAGCTGTAGCAATGCTCAGCATTGCAATTAAGCAATGTCAAAGGGAAGAAGTAACAGTTCATTTTTACTGCAGCATTTTGCCACACGCTGCTGTAGCAGTTCACTCCCCAGAGCAGGAGCTTGGTTCAAAGTTTTCAAAAGTGGGACTTTCTTCCAGCTGTGCAGGGTGGCAGGAGGACTACCACCCACCCGAGGAGGTTAACCGTGAGCACTACCACCCACCCAAGCACCCATTTTTATGCACTACAGCAGTCCATCTAATCTGTTTTACTTTTTTTACAGTGCAGGGGGGCTGGAAAAGCCCAGCTTTCAGGGGAAACATCCACATTCTCCTCCTATTTTACACTAACCAGAACAGCCTGCACTCATCCAACACTTTACTCCCAACTGATCAGTACAGCCTCCTCACCAGAGGATGCTCTCTAAATCAGTTTCAGACCCCTTGACATGATTCAAAAAGCGCTCACCTTTTTAAGGGCTTTGGGTTGAACTGTAAGCAAAGTGATCCCTCAGCAGAGTCTTGACTAAAATGTAGAAGCAAGTTTAAACCAATTTGGGCGCAGCTTATGATGTCACATGCTGCCTCCAGACATTACTATTTCAAGAAGCAGCTAGGTAGCAGGTATTTTTTTGTGACCAGAAAACACTATTGCCAGTGTATAGCCCCATAAAAAAAAACCAAAAACCACTTTATTGGAGGTTTCTATTCGTCCTGGGAGAGGTGCCATTTTCCCATTTCCTAAAGTGTACTGTAAGCCACCTCACTTTCAACAAGCGAGCTCTCTGTGAACAAAGGCGGGGGGGGGGGGGGGGGAAGAAAAAACAAACCATCAAAAATCCCCCCAAAACCTGTTGATAGTACAGTTGTCAGCGTGGTCTTCCAGAGATCGGCACCGTGTTTTGGGACAACAGATGTTGATGTTACTTGGTCTGTTCTCAGGCAGTGGCTAACAGTGAGTCTTTGTAGAAAGCTGTTCTCGCATTACTGCGTGGTCACAAGCTTTACAATCATACCGATGATCCGAGATCCACGGGGGCACATGCACAAATCCATGCTGGGATTCTTGATTTTATCCTGCAGCAGCTGGTCCAGTTCGCAGCGCAGCTCTTTCACCAGCTCAGCCACCTACCACGCATGGTAAAACACAGGTGAGCACAAGGTTCATGAAACGCCATCTCCTGCATTCTTTACACAAGCACAGCTCTGCAGCACTCCCAGGATTATCCTTCCCTTTCCTTACCTGGTGAGAGGCAGCCACAAACCGTATCCATCCATCATCAAGAGAAATGACAAATTCTCCCTTCTGCAGCTGCATGTGAACCTGCCCGCCGCCGAGAAGGACCAGCGGGTACACTGACACCATACTGCAGTCTCGAATGAACACGCGGCTGGTCTTGATTTTCTCGTGATACACCAGGTAGGGGCTCTCGAAGTGCCTCGTCTGGAACACGTACACAATATCCTCATTAAGTGCCACATCTTTCCTATCTGCTTAGGCAAATACGGGCCTGCCTGCCTCTTCCACACAGGCCTCCCCTGCCTCTTCTACGGCTGCAAAGAATAGCAAATGTGCCTAAAATATACCTGATTGATTGACTAACAGACTC